TAGGAGTTGCTGTTTTTCCACCTCTGACGATGGACTCCCGCAGGAGCCCGAAAGCTCAGGACAAAATAAAATTCGTTCCAGTGCTCGATCTTGTATCTTCTTTACCAATATGCCAATCTGGAGTGGTTACGAAATTATGTATTAATTCATGACTCGCTTCAGCAATGTCGAGGTTATTGCATTTTACCTAAGGCTTTATTAAATGACCAGGATTATTGTAGAAGAGCATATTTGATGAAATCCGTAGAAAGAAAGCCTATATTAAGGGGTGGGAAAAATAGGAGGTAGCAAAAAATTGAATCTAAGGTAAGAGTAACCTAATTTGGCGGAAAACATACAAAATTATTAGACTTACTTATCAGGGGATTTTTGGGACTTTTTGGGGCTGCTTGTGGATTGGGATAAGTTCTAACTTGAGTGTTTGCGACTGCTCTATATGCTGAGGTGTTAATATTAAGTAATGGAAATCTGGCAACCAGTGTCCACAACAAAGCCTCCATCGCCGGACTTATCCTGAACGATAGGAGCAACCATCCTACGGTCCACAAAAAACTGCATTCCAACACTTTTTCAACGGGTCTTTCGGTACTGTAGCAGCGATCATCTACTTAAAAGAGAACTTGTCTATTGATACCAATTATTCCGATCAAATGGATATCCAACGAGTTTCGTGAAAAACTGCCTCCGACGTCAGAGGCAATCAAAATCTCGGAGCTGTAATGGGGAAGTGGTACAGCGTATATTCTAATTATTACACTACATGCAAGGATTTTCTGAAGTGAGCATCAAACTAATGTCATTTATCGCATTCGTTTGCTGATTGCCCTAGTGCCTACATAGGTCCTACATGTCAAAAACTCGGCACCCGCATCAATGAACATTATCTGACAATACGAAAACGTGACCCATTGTCTCCCGTGTCTGCGCACGATATTGGTAATGACCACCGCTTCAATGGTTACAGGACTGAGGGGGTCGTCACGGCCAGGACAAAACAGACACGACAATTTCTCGAAGCTTGGCACCCCGGCACAAACAGCGTTGCATGATCTTGATTCACATTACGTATCACGCCTGAAATAACAAAAGTCTATCCGT